CGGTTAATGTGGGTAATACAAGAAGACTTCCCACGACAACCAGGTCTACTTAATCTGGTTTATCCTCTGCAAACCAAAACTTGTTGAAGAGTTGCAAGGATGCATGTTAAGATAAGGCTTGGTTGCCTCATATTTTAGCATGACCAGTAGATTACCATTTTCCACAGTAGAAGAACTATTATGGCACGACTAGACAAATGTGCGCAATTAAGCTGTCCTGAAAAAGCAGAACAGGTTAACAATAACAAAACATTTTATACACCAGGTTGATGAGGTATAGTTGGCATTAATCGGGAAAAATTGTGTACTCCGATCACGAAACGGGTGAGATAGCAATCAGTCGATTCGAGATATCGAGAAGAGCACAGCATATAATCGAGTACGAGCGTGCGTCGAAATCAATATATCAATGGAATGATTTCTGACGTGTCATGCAGATATCTTGGGGTTTTTACAAGGTGTGAATAAATTAGTCTGTAATGCAAATCAGTTTGATAATCAATGAGTTGAGTAACACAGAGAGGAGTAGTGGACAACGCTGGATATACGAATTGATCAAATGCTCAGGCGCGTACATGAGCTGTCTCGTTCATTGCACGAGCTAGGAAAAGCAAACCTTTATGTAATCAAACTCATTCAGTTGACCATCCAACACAACAGATTCTATGGACTTCGACGTCCGCATTCCCGATCAACTGAATCCAGTCGCCTTGGATAACTCGCCTCAAAACTACTTGCCTGCTCGCTTATAGAAAAATCGACTTATTGCAACTTGTCGTGCATTGTGGTTTACCTGATACAATTGGTGATATGTGTGACGATCAGGTTTCGCACTGCGGTTTCCAACCAAGGATGATTGGTTGGTTCCTCTGAAGTTACAAACGGTTCGTTTCCAGGAAATCCGGAAGCCCTGATGACCGCGGATCAATTTTAGCGTTTATTCTATTCGAACTGGTGCAAACAATTCTGCATTGTTCACCCCGAATTCTTCTATCATACATCTTTTGTTTTCATGCAGCCACTCTAAAAAGTTAAGTTTACAAAAACATGAATTGAGCAATATAATAATTTTTCACTTATTCTTAGAACATTGAGTGTGCAATGGTTCCTGACCAGATTCAGCTAGACAGAAAGTGCCAAATTTGCATTTTTCCATGGGATATAACTGGTGCAGAATATCAGATTAGATCATATTGACCCTCAACGGATGCGGTGATTACTTACACATATCACATGATTGGTGGTTGTGATACAGGCAAATTCATAAACTTGGTATCAGTCTAGAACACTATCACAGATATGTGCCACAGTTCAAACGCATATTTTATTTACAAAACAGATTACTCTTGTAGACGCGTCCATCTGGGGCAGTTTTTACTATATTATTATCTAGTTGAGAGATGTTTTCAATATTTTTGACCGAGTTGTAGAATTACTGACAACGAACTGCGCTAGATTTCAATCCATTCATTATATGCGCGAACCGCAAGAAATCTAGCTAGGTATACAGTCAACTGATTGGTTTTTGGATTTGTCTGTGAATCTCTTTGGATACGTCCGAAAACTGACCGATTCAATAGTGCCCGGGAAATGAAAACGGATAGTATTTCTAAGAATCTGAGCTGACTATCCTTCGGACTTCACCTTCACGCGCAATCCTCAGTCCATCGATTCGACCATGTACTCGGAAGCACCGTAGACTCAAGTTTCGCTCTTATTAGAGCTCTACTGCACTACGGATGAGCTCCAATAAGATCAAAACTCGAGTCTACGGTGCTTTCCAGTGTATGGTCGAATCGATGAACTGATGATTGTACGTGAAGGTGAAGTCTGAAGGATAGTCACCTCAAATTCTTAAAAACCAATTATCCTACACAATTACTCACAAGTAACTGTGAGTCAAACTTGAAACGGATAGTATACACGAAAATTCTAAAATTTTAAAATTTTACTAAAACTTTCTAGCTCCAAATGTCTCAGAAATAAATCACTCTACATAAATAACATGCAACCAACAAGTTGACACGTAAATCGTTTTATCTGGTTTGTCCCAGTAGCTGTAACTTATATGATTCATAATATATAGCATGTGGTGGATTGTTTCCCCTAAGCGCAGATAACTTACATATCCTATTTTTCTATAATACATAATTAAATATCACGCCGGTATGACTTCATACTGTAAGATCGTTTCTTTTCAGCCGCAAGGAACGAGGCTAACGACACGAACGATCAGGTGTAATCTGCGCAAACCCGTGCCAGGACTGCAGTCCACACTACATAGGTGAGACAGGCAAACAACTCAGCACTCGCCTAAACGAACACAAGCATACAATCTGACGCGCTGACGCGAGGGAACAAACCTCAAAATACTGCTCACACAAAGGTCGCGAGATCGCCATCGATAAAGCAGAGGTGTTCAAGCGAGCAAAAAAAAATGGGAGCCGGTAGTCCACCATGCTTTACACTCGATCAGTTCGTTCAGCGGACATCTGGAGATGGAAAAAACGTCACGTCGCACACGCAGATGTCGTGACGAATGGTGGATCTATAGAAACACAAGCAGCATAAAGGAGTACAGAAAGATGGTATTCCCATTATCTCATTCATTCCGTTTAACAATGAGTCCTAGTTTGGGCCAAAACGTTACACTAAACATTTCACAGCTCAGTGTATGCCTTCATTCTCTCGTCGTTTATATACATATATACGAATACAAGGGCACAACTGCAAATCTGTTAATACGTACAAATAACTAGACCCATAACTTGAGTTCTATGTGAACTATGAGCTTGAAAAAATTCACCTGTCTTTATGGCACATCTGGTTCTGAGTTCAAGGGAATGAGATGGCAAATTTATTCACTATAGTGAACCTGATTTATTCAACAATAAATGTTGCCTAAGTGAGCTGGAATGATTGAATTCACGCTAAGCGTATTCTGGCACACAGTGGGCGGCACAAAGCCGTATGTATATATACACACAGATCCCATGTAGTTTGCAGGCTCACGTTACCTGTTAATATGACGCAAGACAATGAATTATGCTCATCGAAACCGACTGTTCGACACGTTTCCGAAAAAAAGTAAAATGCACGCACATGCACAGACCATTGAATATGGATGCATCAGTTAGTCGGTATACACATTCACGTATGCGGAGAATTAGGGTTGATTTATTTCTTTTTTGACTGATGAAGAACCAACAAGTCGTAAGGCTTTCCTTTGTCATGTATCATCGATACTTGCGGTTTTCGTTTCTCGGCATTATGCGTGTTTCGTGTGGGCGCCTTGTCTCCGGCCACAGCGGACTCCTGTTTTAATTTGGGCAGAGAAAGCATTGTCTTCACTACTTCCTGTTTTGTCTCTCGCATATTTCTACCAATGTCTGGCCCAGTTCTGGTCAGTGTTGCGGTTACGGATGTACTAACCATGGTGTGCGATTGGATCGGGGGTAAAAATGTGGGAGCGACCGCAGTGGAGCGTTTTCTTGTCGTCATATCTTTCATATTCCGCGACGCTGAGCTCACCGCAGTCTGGCAATCGATCTCACTCGTTACAGCCATGGAACGATTCATGTCTGGTGATTGTTGTCGGCAGTGTTTCGCGGTTGACGTATTCGTTTGAATTCGTGTGTAAATAGGGATCGCACTTTTATTCGGCAAACTCGGAGCCACTGGTTTGTGATCGCCCACAGTTTCGTGATCAGGGAACAAATGGTCCGTGGTATTCGTCTCACTGAAGGATGTTTCTTCCGTCAGCGTTTTGTGATATTCTTTGGAGCTATCAAAACTGAAACGGGTAATTTTCTGGGTCGGAGTATCAACCGATCGTGTTGACTCCTCTTCCTGTTCAATTCGTTGAAGCTGAACCACTCTCTTACCGACTGGGAGATGATTTCGGTCGGAAATTTGCTTGGTGTTTATTTTAGACACGTTTTGGTGGGTATCCGCTTGATGAGCCTGGGAATGTTTTGTAGTGTATGGTGTTAGACCAATTGGGTTTTGTACGGAATCACTGGATGGAGCGGATTGAAGCACAACATCTTGTTGACGCTGTCCGGCAATTCGATTCAGGACGGCTCGTTTCAATGGTTTCCGTGTGTCGCGCATACGCATTTGTGTACCAGCCGAATGAATGCTAGACGCACCTAAATGTTGAACAGGTATCTGATCGTTCCACTCTTCCAGTGTTTCATTTGGCACCGAGTTTGTGACCTCTGTTGTAAAGTAACCCGATTTGATTGTATCCGACTTGTCTGAGGAATGTTCTGGATTTTCAGCAGGAAAAAGTGTCGGACCTGAGGGGATCATCTCAACAAATGTGGCCGCCTTATGCATGACTGTTTTTGATCCCATTTCCTGTGTTGTGGATGTGGGAAATTCAACCGGCGATTTTAAAATGACCCCCTCGGACAGCTCACTTGTGTCTAATGATTGTTTTTCTGGGGACATGTATGTGGATGTTATTCCACGTGTTAGAGTGCGACTGTCCGTGAACAATTCACTGTGAGCACTACTATTTGTTTCCAGCTGTGCAATCGATGTGATTCCCATCTGTTTGTTTAGATCATCCGGTTGCCAATTGGTCTGATAGTCTCCGTAGCGAGAATGACTGCATTTTGTTGGGGGCACATGACTCGTTGGTTGAATAATTGGCTCATCTATTGGATTCAGGATCTCATCAACTGACCGGTAGTTGATGGAAGTGCGAGGCTGATTGTATGTAGGTATTGGGTACGGTTCATCAGGCGCTTCATCAGAAACTCGTGGTGACGTACAAGGGGAGGGCATACATCTAAAGGAGCTGGACTTTGTCCCCGGCTGTCTTGATGCCGAGCAACAGGACCTTGGAGGACAACGCTCATGTTTGACCGGGACGCCCATTCTGATGTGCATGGTCTCTCTTGGTTGTTGTTGTTGTTGTTGACTTACCTCTGTTGTTTCAGGAACACGAAATTCTACGGGTACATCCACGCGAGGCTGTGACGAACGCATTGTATGTTCGTTCGAGCGTGGATAACAGTTATGAATTGGAGTTTTATGAGTGATTTGTATGTGTATTTCACCCTTTAAAGGATCATGTTTGCAAACCGGGTGACGTATTGTGTGCATGTTAATGAGATGCGCTGTACCGGACTCATCACGACCAACAAAAGTTTGTGCCTCAACCACAGTCATATCGGGAACTCCGTCAGCATGTTGCCCCGGGTGCGATGAATCTCCTCTCGGTGGAGATCCATAACTACATCTCCGACTTGGACATGCTGTGTCTTCTGGATTAAACGGGACCAAAGCGCCAGAATCTGCCATTAAATGTGGATCGGTTTCGGCAAGTAATTCGTTTTTCACGCCACTTATTTCAGTCCATTCTTTCGAAGGCTCAGTTATGTGATTTTCGGGTTCCATTGATGGTAATTCAAGTGTCAGCGATTTTTGTTTTGTCGATTCTTGATAAATGTGTTCTTCCTTTTCCGTCACCGCATCTTCGGTACATACATATTCCGCTTCTGGACTGGATGAAGCTAATGCCTTTGCTTCGCATTCCGGTTCTTTTTCAAACACTTCATGATGAACCTCTAAATCACCGGCCAACCATTGGGGAATGAAAATCCTAGCTCGTGATATTGGTGTAATCCATGGGCTAGGGTCTGGAATAATGTATTCTGACAATGATGGCAATTGTGGTGCACCGGGAAGATTGGTCGAAGTCCGACTCTCTTGTAAAGGAACAGGAGGCCTAGAACATTTACAACCCATTCCTATGGAACCATGATTGTTCGTCCAAGTGTTCCATCCATTAAGAGTTTAATTCTTTTAAATGCGGCCAGGATTGGGTTCATCGATCTTTTGCACAAAGTCACGTGATACATATGAGCAGACCGAGTACAGCAGTTAAATGTACATAGGTTAAATTCCGCACAAAACCATCAGGTATTCAGCACTAAAAGACTGAGTAAGTTCCGGCGGTATGTAGACTATAAGGATAATATTACCAAGAAGATATGTGGAGCTTAAATGGAATAAAATAGTGGAGAAAAAAGAATTCATTTAGAATTCAAAAGAAAAACAAAAATTTATCGTTTATTTCTTACTCAATTATCCCAAAGAATTAAAAATGAAAGAATCCTCAAATTAGTTGATGGATGGGTGCTAGTTTAATTTTCGTGGGTGAAATGCGTAATGTTACACACTGGAACGGGTGATTCCATGGTGAGAAATTCCGGGAGACACCTTCTTACATTGCTCACACTTGTATCTGGTTTGCTCTAGAAGTTAAACTGCTCATTGTATCGATCGGTCCTAAAATCCTTTGTACTGTATAGTTTCCGAGCAGTAAAAGTATGGTGGAGATGCTCAAATATCAAAACCATTGTGAGATATTGCTTTACTTCACTAGGAGAATTTACACTTGTCAAACTCCATTAGTTCATTGTTAGAACATGGATATGGCATTTAAACAACTTCCCTGATCTACTAGATATGATAGTGGTTCTTTTTGGTCAGGGTTGCCCTCTCTCCTTTTCTATTTAACTTGGTTATAGATCTGATTGTGTAAACAGCCCTACCTCCGTGCGAGAAAAGTGGCTTCGATTTACTCCCAGGTAGCAGGCTGTCTGATCTATAGCATGCAGATGACATTGTGCTACTAAGTGAAGATCCAGGTAAATTACTAGCTTCTCTGGATAGTTTGAGTGCTAGTGTAACCAGGTTCGGTGTGCATTTTGCACCTTCAAAGTGCAGAACGTTATTTCAAGACTGGATTGATCTAGTACCCAACGTCACTCTAACTGGGGAAGTAATAGAGGAAGTGGATAAGTTTTGTTACTTGGGCAGCTACATCTCACCCAAGGGACGCATCGCGGATGAAGTGTCAGCTCGTATACAGAAGGCTTGATTTGCATTTGCCATTTTAAGGCATCTGTGGCATCGTCGCGACTTCTGGCTATCTGTTTGAGTGTATGCTTTGGCAGTTCCGCCAGTTCTGCTATATGTCGCAGAAACTCGGATATTAACGGAAGAGGATAAAAATAGACTGTTGGTATTTGAACACCGCTGTCTGCGCAATAATGCACGGATCTGTTGGGGCAGCCGGATGAGCAATGGTGAGGTTAGCCGCAGAGGTTTAAGTAAATGCGGTCCCCCACTAGAGCAAATGGTCGACCTCCGTAAATTATGTTGGCTGGGGCGTATCTTACGTATGTCACCTGATAGGTTACCAGGGCGAGTGATGTTTGCCGAAGCAGGTGGTTGATGGAATAAAGCCAGGGGTGGTCAAGCTAAGACTTGGCACAAGGGTATAAAAACCCTAACCAGAAGTCTGGATCACATAGAACCCGTAAGGCTCCCTGACCGGGGATCTCGGGATGATCATAACCGATGGTTAAAGAAAGTGAGTGATACGGCTGGGTATCGCAAAGACTAGCGTTCGTGCATCTTCACAATTTCCTTACATCATCAGTCCACTGAACTTCTCAATTTTCTCTTCAATCCTACCTTCGATCTTCCTTGTTACCTCCTATTGTTCATCCAAATGGACAGCCGAAAGACAGCAACCAAAAGCAACTCACGGAAGTGCTTGTTCAATGGTTTTTCAAACTGAAACTGAACCTCATCTACTGTGACTCAAGAGCGTCTTGAAAGAAAATACAAACTGAGCACGTCAGACAATTATTCTCAAACGTTTAGTTTTTCTATTTCCGGCTAACCGTGTCCATGAAAGAATGGAGTTAACCATGGGAATTTTATTTAACCTAACCGAAAAGAATCAGCAAAGGTTTTAAAGTGGAAAAAGTCGTTCAAATGTGCAAAAAATGTAGAAAGGGTAGAAGTCACAGGCTACCAGCGGCACTCGGAGTTACTAACATGTCACACATGATTGACACGGTTCGTCCAGCACTTGTCAAAATTTACGAAACGCCGTAGTGAAGTCCATCCACGTTTAGGGCATTGTGTAATTTGATCGAGTCGGATTAGGGGAGCACAAATGCATCCTGAGGGTACATTCCTCGCAAGTGTGTCGATATTTATTAATTACATGAACGAAAAGAACAAATTTGTCAAAGTGGTTAGGGATTTCCCTCATTTTGGATGTGTTGAAGTGATTCCATGAGACAAAAAGACGTACCGTTTTGAGTTCGAACTTCCGCAAGGGATTTTAGTAGTATGGCGTAATCACCGAAATCACGTCTGCCAAAGTGATCATAGCTTGTGCAATTACACAAGAGTTGCCGCGGGCTACTAACTTCTTAATTGAAACCTACGGTGTACCATTACAGCACAAAATTGGAGGTGAAGCTTACTAGTTGCTCATTCGTATTGGCATCACTCTAGGCAGATATATTACCTGAGCTTTTGTGCTGCGAAAGTCTTTTGTGAACCAATCACCTGGGGATTGGGTCAGTTGAATCCAAATTAAATTTCATGTTGCGTGCTCATTTTGGTAAACACTCAAAGGTTTGTATTCAGGAAACTCGGAATCAACAATCACATAACTAAGAAAAATATCTAGACAGTTTACTAGCAATATAGGTGAGCATACCATACTTCGACAGATCATACCGATCTTCGTCAAATCTCGCATTACAGTCAGACACATGGATTGAGTAGTTCAATTTCCTTTCTTGTGTTCGAGAGCAAATCCCGTGACTCTGAGAGGGAATTGAATGTGTATCACCCACCAAACCCTCATACGTCAAGCTCTGAATGAAAAGGACATAATGGTCGGACATATCGAGGAACTACGTAGAAACTTCGACAAATCCACTCACGTTCTGGATTTACTGTCGTATGAGGAACGTAATCGTTATGAGCCATTCGTAGAATCAGTGGTGAGGAAACAAATCGAGCGAGAGAGCGACATTCCACGAAAGTGACTAGATCCTGCGAAACCCATCAGCGAGTTCCCAACGAATCCTGAAAGATGTGTGCACAACTTTTCGTTTATTAAGTTAGAAAAATTGTTGATCGAGGTTCTGTCTCTAGGATCTCACTTTTATTGTCCGATCGAACGAACTAAACAACTGGATCTAGAAGTACAGTTCCAAAACCTTTTCTCGCAGCTGTTATATTTATAGCCTTCTTCGTCGCAAAATGTAGCTCAGCTGAAATCCACACTAGTGAATTTCTCGATAACAAACCGATGATCAAAGATCTACTGACACCACAACACCGAGAACGGTTGAAGGGATTGAGGAATGATCATGATGTAATTCTGTAAAGATCAGACAAGGGTACAGGAGTTGTCATACTGAACAGATCAAACTACGTGTCCAAGATAAACAACATACTCAGTGACAGCACAAAGTTCAAGAAGATGACTGGAGAAAAGGATAAAACGGAACAGATAGAGCAGAAACTGTCAGAGATAATCGGAATTCCAAAGCAAAAGAGTGTCATAGATGCAAACACGTTCGAACTAATCCGATCGATTGGAACAACAATCCCAAGGTTGTATGGTTTACCCAAAGTACACAAAGATGGAATACCCCTCAGGCCAATTTTAGACATGTGTAGTTCCCCATATCATGCAGTAGCCAAATGGCTTGTGGCAATTTTGGATCCAGTGAGAGCCACCCTTGCAACCCACACTTTACCGGACTTTTTCGCCTTGATAGATGTAATCCGAAACGTAAATGTGGATGGCCAATGAATGATATCCATGGACGTTAGCTCACTTTTCACTAGTGTTCCTATCGCAGAGACCATTGAGTATTTATGTGACCAAATCCAGGAAAAGAATATCAAAATTGCAATACCTTTGGATGACTTGAAACAGCTATTGTACTTCTGCACACCGAATGTTCAGTTCAAGTTCAATGAAGAAATCTATCGCCAAAAAGATGGAGTCGCAATGGGATCCCCGCTCGGCCCCTTATTTGCGGATTTATTCATGTCCAAGCTAGAAAATATTGTTTTGAAGTCCACGATTAAGCGATGTAAGCTATACGGACGATATGTCGATGACATATTGTTTTGTGGACAGTAACGTCAAGGTGTCCAACTTACTCAGGATATTTAATTCCGCTCATCCCAACATAAAGTTCACATTGGAAGAAGAGTTTAATGACGGGATTGGTTTTCTCGACATGTGGCTAGAGCGTCGCACAGATGGTTCTATTCAGAGATCGATTTATAGGAAACCGACTTGGAGCTGCCACTTCAGAAGCTTTATGCCATTCAA